TTGTATATGGTGCCCTCAAGTGTCCAGAAGCTCTATTCTGGAGCTGCTCAGACCCTGAAGCAATGTTGGGGGTCACAGGGAGGAAAGAGCTGTTCCCTGCCTCCTGGCTGCTGTGCCTGTCTCCACTGCCTGAGCCAGTGGGCCGTTCACACAGGTATGTTTTTGTCCCTGAGCAGCCGGATATGGATCCCTACTTTCCACAAGCAGCCAGAATCCCATTCTCCCCAGGAACTCTGCCTGTATTAACTTTCCAACCCGGTAGTCATGCAAGTCTCATGAAAGCACCACGAAATGTAGGTTTGTGCTCCCAGAGCAGATCTCTGGAGCTATGTATTCAGCAGTCCCAAGCCTTCCACTCCCTCCCTGCTCCATTTGTCTTACTCCTGCTGGTGAGCTGGGGTGGGGGAGGTGTTTGGGTCCCGCAGAGCTGCAGCTCTGGTACGTTACCCCATTTGGTGAGGTCTGCTCTTTTCTCCAGGTGTGTGCAGTCTGATGCTGTCCTCTTTCCTGTTGCTCTCTCAGGATTCATTGCACCAATTAAATTTTTTAATTGTATCCAGTTTTAGGAGGAAGCCTCTGTCTCTCCTCTCATGCCACCATCTTTAATCCCATCCTCCAGATCTTCTTTTCTAATGTAGGTATTTATCAGTATTAAACTTCCTTCTTCATACTGCTTTTGCTGTATCCCATGTTTTGGTTAAGCTGTGTTTTTGCTTTCATCTTGAGAAATTTTTTTACTTTCCTTTTGATTTCCTATTTGACTTGGTGATTAAGAATTTGTTGTTTAGTTTCCATGTATATGTGAGTTTTCCTGTTTACTTGCTGTTATTGATTTTTAGTTTCATTCCACTGTGATTAGAAAAGATACTTGGTGTGATTTCAATGTTAAATTTGTTAAGACTTGTTTTGTGACCTAACATGATCTATCCTATAAATGTTTTGTGTGTACTTGAGAAGAATTTGTATTTTTATGCTGTTGGGTGAAAAGTTTTATACAAAGTCTGTTGGTCTGTAGTGTATATATGTGGTTTAAAGTGTTGTTTGAATCCACTGTTTATTGATTTTCTGTCTGGATGTTCTATTATTGCAATTGGGATATTGAAGTCTCCTATTATTATTGTATTGCTGTAAATTTCTCCTTTCACATCTGCCACTGTTTGTTTTATATATTTAGGTGCTCTGATGTTAGATATGTATGTATTTATAATTGTTATATCTTCCTGTGAAGTTCACCCTCTATCATTATGTAATGACCATCTTTGTCTATAGAGACCGTTTTTGACTTAAAGTCTACTGTCTGATAGAAGTTCAGCCATTCATGCTTTCTTTTGGTTACTACTTGCCTGGACTATTTTTTTTTCCATACCTTCACTTTCAGCATATATGTGTTCTTGAACTTGAAGTGAGCTTCTTCTAGACAGCATACAGTTAGATCTTGGCTTTTCTATCCTTTCAGCTACTCTCTGTTTATTTGGGATTTTAGTCTATTTACATTTAAAGTAATTATTGATATGGAAGAATTTACTATTGCCATTTAAACTGCTTTCTGTTTGTCTTGTAGTCCTTTTGTCCCTCTTTTCTCTCTTGCTATCTTCCTTTGTGTTTTGTTGTTGGTTTTTTTTTGTATTGTTATGTTTTGTTTTTCTCTTTTTCTTTTGTGTAACATCTATAGGCATTTTCTTTGTGGCTTACATAAAATCTCTTGTAAAAATATATTTTTAAGCTGATAACAGCTTAACTTGCATATAAGAATTCTGCATTTTTACCTCTATCACCCCATTATTTGTTACTGATGTCACAATTTATATCTATTAAGAGTATGTATTGATAAGCATAATTTTGTTATAGTAGTTAAAATGGAATTAGATCTCATACAGTGTAAATGCAGGGTCTACTTACCTAACCACAGGCTACACTGCCCCTCTTAAAATATAGTATGATTCTGGGGGATAGCTCTGGGGGTGTTCAGGGGAAGGTAACTTTGGGAGGTGGCCTACGCTTGATAAGAGGTTACCTTGTGGACGATGGCAGAGGGAGATAATCGCAGCACCAACCAGCTGGCTGCAGAGACTGCAAGTCTGGAAGAGCAGCTGCAAGGATGGGGAGAAGTGATGCTGATGGCGGATAAAGTCCTCTGATGGGAAAGAGCCTGGTTTCCACCTGCCATTGTGGGTGTGGTTTCTTTGGTGTTTCTGACTATCTACTATCTAGATCCATCTGTTTTGTCCGGTGTTTCCTGTTTTGTTATGTTTTTGTGCTTGGCTGACTACCTTGTTCCCATTCTAGTGCCTAGAATTTTTGGCTTCAATAAATGGACAACTGAGCAACAGCAGAGATTCCATGAAATCTGTAGCAACCTAGTGAAAACCCGACGCAGGGCCTTGGGCTGGTGGAAACGCCTCTTCACACTAAAGGAAGAAAAGCCTAAAATGTACTTCATGACCATGATCATTTGTCTTGCTGCAGTTGCTTGGGTGGGACAGCAAGTCCACAACCTTCTTTTTACCTACTTGATAGTGAGTTTCTTACTGCTGCTTCCTGGACTCAACCAACATGGAATCATTTTCAAGTACATTGGAATGGCCAAAAGGGAGATAAATAAGCTGCTCAAGCAAAAAAGAAAAGAAAAATGAATAGTGCATCTGTTTTATTCAATGTGATTGATGGTGTATATGTTGTTCTTGGGAACGGTTTCTATTAAGCTATCTGGAACTAAAATGTTACAGAAGTAGCTCTTTGCTCTCCATCATTCTGCCCTTAGTTAATAGCAATTCAGACTTGCTGAATAAGGTTTTCTGCATAGTGTCTTTGTGTCAAGTGTTGCTGGGTACATGCTCATTTGTTCTTACGTGGACAACTCACGGGAGAGTATGACTTATTTTTTTCTCACCCAGAGTTAATTGAATTCTCTTACACAATTTCCTTTAAAATAATATTGTGGTGAACTTCACCCTTTAGTACAGTTAACAGTGACTTTGGATAGTTGGAGTTGACCTTCACTTTAGCTTGATACAGGGTAGTGGTCTGTGGCTCCAGGAAGCTGGTTCTACTGTCTACTTCCACAGTCTGCTTAAAGAACCGTCTGGCTTTATGAATAAGGAGACCAAGTTTACCCCTTCTGATGAAGGAACCAGTTAAGATTCTTTCCTCATTCTGTTTCTATACCATGGGAGAAGGTCCTTATGGATGAATGAAACTAATTCCATGCTCTGCTATATGTTTCTGTCTTCTGCAAAACTTAGCAGTTCATAGGAAACCTCGATCTTTCCTACCAAATGGGGAATCTGATAGGCCTAGAACTCTTGTCCCCTTGCACTGAGACTTCAATTAGTAGATCCTTAAAGGTTCTTTTTAATGGAGTTCCAAAAGGTTGTATTAGGATTTTCAGTATGCTTTTAATTTTCAGCTGTGTGAAACTAAAATACATGAAAGGTTAAGACTCATGTCTGTGACCTTCACTCCCAAGAGTAGCCATTGAAGGACAAGTCTTCCTGTGTTAAGATTCATTTCAGTAGAAAATAATCTCACCCTACTAAGTTTTCAAGAACAGAATAAACTTTTAAAGGTAAGCCTCGAATTCTCATTTTTTGGTAATGGTGGGGGTGCTGCTCTGCCCCATATATCTGGCATAGGAGGCAGTGACTTGTGCTGGTATCTGACTCTTTTCCTAGATGTTTCTCTGAAGGATGCAAGGGCTGGGCTATGGGTGGGAGCAGACTTGTGGTGACAACAGGTGGCCTCTGGTCTATAGAGATTTTGTGACTCTTTGGAAAGTCTTAAAATCATTCTTTCTCTCAGTAACTAGACATGTATAGAGGTTGAAATCTGTAGGAATGAATTCTGAGGGCTGAAAATTCGACTTACTTGGAAACAATTCTTAAGCTCCAATTGACTAGCTATAATATAGTTTTGTGAATTTATTGCACCAATGCTGCAAACCCTGGACCTTGTGGTATATCTGTCCCTAAATAAGTGGTATTCTCTCCCCTTCAATATTGCTGTAAACAGTGGCACCCATGTAGCATATGTTTGATTTTTTTCTTTTTTAATGTTTCATTTGAAAACTGCAAACTACCTTCATTGACATGTGTTTCCTTATTGTAAATAAGCCTGTCTTCCTGTCTGGGTTTTTTTTTGTGTATATGTGTTCTACCAATTAATACTTTTTGTGGTTTTAATACTATATAATTTCTTCTACTTTGTTTTGTGTAAAAGGGGAAAAATTAAAAAAGCTGGAATCCCCCCAAAATATGTAATATAGTATGATTCTGTACTTGTCCTTCAAATAAATGAATGAATCAGTGTTATTCATATCATTCATTCAGAATGAATCAGTATCACCAGAATAATGAAGCTTTTTTTTTTTTTTTTTTT